TTTTTTTAGTTATGTTATATTTTTGAGTACCTAATTAAAGCCTTTTTGAGTTCACGACTGTCTCCGGAGTCTGCACCTTGGGTCCTATTCCTGTCTGCACACAGCCGTCACCTAACACCCTGTGTTTGCGTAGGTTCCCTCCGGGTACTCTGGCTTCCTCCCACAGTCCAAAGACATGCAGTTGGTGGGGATAGGTTAATTGATTAATCCAAATTGCCCATAGGTGTGAATGTGAGCGCCAGTGGTTGTCTGTCTCTGTGTGTTGGCCCTTGGACAGACTGGTGACCAGTCCAGGGTGTACCCCACCTCTCGCCCTATGACAGCTGGGATAGGCTCCAGCACCCCCGCGACCCTGAAAAGGATAAGCGGAAGCGAATGGATGGATCATATCGTCGGGTGTTTCTTGATTTCATACTAATATTACTATAGAAAGTCATTCGGCTGTTGGCTCTTTGTCCCTCAGGTTAAACAGAGGTCCACTGGGAAAGTTCAGCATTGACGTTGGGAATCGAACCACCATCAGGATGAGTTACCCGGAGGGCACGCCTCTTAGCTGGGCTGACACAGACCCAGACACTCTGTTTGTGACGGTGGTGTATAAAAGCGGAGACATCAGCTGGAGCTCTGCTATGATCAACAAGCTCTCTGTGGTGAGTAGCACTGCTGAATTCATCTGATCAAACTAACCAGCAACCCACCTTCACACGAATAAATCAGCTCGTGTTCTTGGATTAAAGCTATATTATTTAAGAATATGCCATCTTGGAGAATACACCCTGGAGAAACAGATAAATATGGAAAATCTGACTACTTATAAATATAATGATGGCTGCACCGAGTCAAAAACACTGAGATGTTTAAATGCAGTTAGATGTTAGAATGATCCTGTTAAACGAATGGAAATAGTAGCAGCACTGTAATAGCACAGTTTGGGATTGTCTGTAAGGTGAAGATTAGAAATCAATTCTCATATTTTAATATAAAAGCAAGCTTTGAAGAAAATAAATTAGAAAAAGTATTAGATAAAAATAAAAATCATGTGCAGTACAAACAGCCTCTAAGCACGAGAGACATTTTTAAAAATCAGAAAAGCTCTTATCAGACATTATATGTGTGACGTCTGGCTGAAGTGTGCTTCCAGGAATTCCTCCCCTACCTGTGGTTTAATCACATGGATCTCTTGGATTATGTAACGTCTCCGTTGCTAGCTCCATAAGTCATTGTCAACTTGTGAATTCCTCAGTATCATCTTCTACGTGAAAGTGTGACACAGTCTCAGATCTCACTGCTGTTTTCTTGTGAGTCAGTGTTCTGAGCTGTTGAGAAACCAACAGTTTGTGCTTTGTGTTGCAGCCTCTGTGGGATTGGTTCTTTTTCTGGCAGAAGGTTCCAGATAGAATCCCTCTCAAAGCCAGTAAGTTCAGACTTCTAAACCCACATGTGATCAGAGAGACTGCACTGGACCTCCTGAAATATCCTCTTCCCAGGCCACGCCTGTGGGGCTGGGACCAGGTAATTGATGATTCACATACCACACATTAAGTGAAAGTGTGTCTGTCCGTAAATCTGGTATAAAGCGGGGAACTCCAGGCCTCGAGGGCTGGTGTCCTTCTGGTTTTAGATCTTAGTTCATTACCAGGCCTCTGGGGAACAAGACATGCTGAGTAATTTAGCCATGCAATTCAGGACACCTGCACTCAGGCCTGGAGTTCCCCCACCCCTGGTTAAAGTGAAAACTGAAGTCAGTTTTAAAAATACTTTTTAAACTACTGATTCATTGAAGTCGTTTTTGAAATGCCTTTGCATTGTGTATTTATTTATTTTTAATTATTTTTCACGTAGAAAGACGGGCTAGCCCAGCTTAGGAATTAAACCTTCTAATAAAGAACAAGTTATATCTGTTTGCACAGTAAAACATCCCTTTGTCCATCTGCCACTGTGCCAAGTGTCAGGTTTAATCGTCATGCCTGCTGTAGCCAGCCTGCAGTCTGTTGTGTTGGAGCAACTCCCCCTTGTGGTCACTTTTGACTATTGCAGTACTATCTAACAGCAGCAGATGTGACCATTTCTGCTTTGAGCTCATTTAAGTTGTAATGATCAGATTAGTGAAATTAGAAAATAAAAGCTTAGAAGTGGTTCTGTGTGTCAAGTTATGTTAACCTCTGTCTTCGACTCTGTTGGAGTAATAAAGTCATTCTGAACAAGAATAAAGTTGTTACTCAGCGCTGAGGTTTCTAATGGAGCTCACTGAGCTGCTGTTCTCATGAGCTACAGGCAGACATGGGAAAGGTGTTAACAAAAGGCTAATATCGTGATACTATCGGTTTACCTGTCTGTGCATATTACAGTAAGCTAAATCATAGTTTATTTATTATGGCCTATATTACTTTGACTTTGCCGGTGTCTCACTCTTGTCCATTTTCCTTCTTTACTTCAACCATAGTCAGTTTGCTTAGAAAATAAAATGATGTGAAAAATCTGCAACAGGAAAACAGAAACAAACGTCTTTACTCTTTAAGAAAGTTTAACCCGTTTTTTACATATATTTGCAGAACATTCCCACTCTAGGTGTGTCTGCGCTGACTCTAGCTAGCCTGCTGTGTGACGAGGTCAGCCTGGCAGGCTTTGGGTACAACCTCTCCCAGCACGGGGCGCCACTGCACTACTATGACCAGCTGCCTATGAGTGCCATGCTGGAGCAGAGCATGCACAACGTGAACAGAGAGACTGAGCTCTTGCAAAGACTGGTTAGAGAGGGAACCATCACTGACCTGACAGGGGGGATCCACTGCTCCTACTGCCACAGCTGACCCACCACAGCCTTCTAGTGCAGAGCGCTTCCTTTTTGTGGTGTGAACATTTTCATATCCTCTCTGAGGCACTGAACAGAAGTCAAGCAAGAGTCACAGGATATTTTTAACAAAACACTTTATGAAGAACTGCTTTGTTTATAATGAGAAAGGGCCTTGGACCACAGTCTTGTCTTTGCTCACACACACGTGTTGCAAAGCTTCCAGTTTGTAATAACTGATTCTCATCAGCAATGCATCAGGAGCTTCTCAGTATTTGAGTTACTTTTAGTTGTGGAACACGACCAGTAACTTGTAAACAGTGTTATTCGGTATCATGGTTGTTGTGATTGTTCTGATGCAAGTTAAAATTATGTTTGTACAGCAGTAAATTATCAGTGGAACAAAATGAATCTGTATTCAGTTGCACAGATTGGACCAAAGTGTCTTCAGCAGTTTTTAGCAGATTCACTTCGTTGTGATATTGAAAAAGTCTGCTTTGCTGCTCTTCCCGAGTGGCTGATCTTTGATATCTGTGGGGAAAATAAAATGTGATTTATAATTTTATTTTTATTATTTCTACATCGTTGTAGTTTTATTTGACTTGCACTTTTTCATGTTAACATCCAATTTCCTGATCTGAATTTTAATATGTCGCAGCCATGTGAGCATCCTGTGTCGGTCTTCATTAATAAAGTCCAAAAAAGAAGAAAGTCTTCTGTTTTTAGTTTTTCATTATTTTTGATGTAGTATGTTGATGCCTGGTTTTGTTTTTTTTTTTATGCTTATGTTGTTCAGTTATTTGCCTGCAGCCGTGCACACAAAGTCAAAGTGTGGAGGTTGATGGACGCTGCAGGCTAAATATTGACAGTTACTTGCTTCTCATTAACTCTGAGTGACACTAAAAGGAGAGCAGTTTACAGTCTGCTTTGAGCCAGTGATTAGCCAGCTGATTGGTCTGACAAGCCATGTGAGACCCTGATAGTGAAATTACCTTCCACGCTGCATCTTGTCATAAAGTGACCCGTGAGAAAAACACGCCTTTTAAAGACTGACTGGTGAACGCAAAGCTGAATCATGGATCTAGTATTTTACGCATTGAACCTTTTACTGCTAACTTATTGAGAAACACTTGTCCGGAAGTTTGAAACTTATGTAATGCCATGATTGGCTGGTCAGGTGTGCGCGAGGTGAGGAGCGAGAAACCGGGAAGAAGTCGTGGGAACAGGTGCGAAGTAAGCGACAGCAGCTCACCGTAGTCAGTTAATCACGACTGAAAGAAATAATAGTGCGTTTGCTGGCTTTGATACAGTATGCTAAAGAAAGTGTGCTAATAGGAGAACAGCACATCCCAGCTGGCATTAAGAAGAATATCAAAGCGAGCTCCGTTTAGAAATCAGGTAAGTTAATTATATTCAAGCGAAACCATAAAGGTGGCGCGTGACAGAAAACAACACTAACCTGTGTTTGCACGCGCACTTATTAATATGATAAATTATTATGATATGACAAATGCTGTGCACGCTTTTACTAGTGCTAGTGCGGTGTGTGTGTGGGGGGGAGTTTCTATTCCGACCTTAAGTCCAGTCAGCGCTGTCAGACAGATGTGTCTCCGGGCACCGCTGCTAAAGGGAGGCGGGGCATGAACAAGCTGCTGGAGGTTGTGTTTTAAAAGCTGGCAAAGTGTAACAACACAACACTTTAGTCGTTACTGTGTTGGTGTATTTGTGTGTGTGTTTTGCAGTGATGGGAATAACGGCGTTACTTTTTTCAGTAACGAGTAATCTAACTAATTACTATTTCTATCGTTACAACACCGTTACTGTTACTAACAAGAAAATTCGGTGCGGTCGCGTTACTATTTTTCAACAGACAGTTGAAGCTGTGCTCAGCTTACTGCATCAGTTGTACGGAAGTAGCTGTAAGTAATCTGGGCGCTACACCTTTAAGCAGCTGCGCGCTCCTGCAGACGGCAATCACTTTCTGCCCGACGATAACTTTTTGGCACAACACCTGGAGCTAAGGGGGCAAAACAATCGCATGAGTGCTGCTGTTTGACTGAGGAAGAATAAAGTAGTCGTGGTAAGCCAATCACATAACCACTTAAAGACAAAGCAACAAGGTGATATATACCAGTTTATAAATTGTGTTGATAGGCCACGTAAAACCAGAGTCGTGATAAACAATATATATGCAGCGTTTTTTCCTCAATAGTTTCGTCACGTTTAATGTCTAAGGACAGCGCAGCGAGCACTCTCTGCTTATGAGCAAAAAATAAAGAAAACCCCAAACCAAATCAAAAAACAGCCCTTTCGTGTTGGTGGAAAAATGCACCATGTCGACCAATCAAAAATGATATGGCAATACGACATTTGGTTGTTTAGGAAGAGAGATTTGTGACGTTTAGCGTGTTTGTAGTGTGTAGTTAATGTGTTGTCTTGTGTAGTTAGTGTGTAGTGTTGTGGATAGTTTTGTGTTGTGTGTCAGAACAATGAGGCGACTGTCTCCAGGTAGAAACAGGAGTTTCTACCTGCTGCTGTCAGACCTGCAGGTATCATCCTGTGATGTTCTCCTTTATATCTCCAAAAGTTGATTCTGTTCATGTGGACGTAGCGTTTGTGGGAGAAACGTTTCGTCACTCATCCAAGTGACTTCTTCAGTCTCAGCTGACTGCAGGTTTCCCCAAATCTTATAAACAGTACATTTGCATAATGACTGAAACCAATGGGCTGGGAGGTCAGTTCCTTAATCGTAATTATGCAAATTCTCATGACCATTGATCAATGGCCATGAGTACCACATGAGAATGGGTGCACCAGGGTGCAG